AGCCAGGGCACCGGATCCTGCAGGATCCTGCGAAGGCCCCCTCTGGCTGACACGGGTTAGCGAGCCGCTCGTGGCCGCGAGGCGGCCGCGCCTATTGGCTGACCCGGGTTTGCGAAGACCTGCGGCGCAGCTTTTTTTGTTCTCCTGCATTGCAGTTTTTGGTTTCCTGCTGACCCAGGTCTGGATTGACCCGGGTCAGAAGATCCCCGAGGGCAGGGGGGGGGCGGGATCGGCGTCACCCCTAACACACTTGTACTATAGGTGCGTCGACCCCCCCCCCCCCGGGGGCGACACGCGCACCGAGAGATCTTGTAGTATATGCGTCGCGGCGGGCGCTCTCTGGCCAGACCGCTCGGGAAACGATGCACTGCAAGATGGGTATACTATATGTTCGGGTCGGACGCGCGCCTCCAAGGAGGACATATAGTATTAGTATGTCTCTGTGCGTCCCAGGGGAGGGGAGGGGGAGGACAGGAATAGAAGACCCAGACCCCCTCGAGTCACGACAAAAGAGCAGGGCGGGAGGTTTTTGTCGCTGTTTTTGGCCTCTGGGGGCCCTGACTGGGCCTCGGGGCCGTCAAGGTCCCTGACCATTGCTTAGATCTCTGTTCGCACAATCGGATGCCGAGCAGGGCAATGATCCCGTGAGAGTACGCGATGCATGGTATAGCACGGCATTGCATCGCATACACAAGGACGGCCACAGCCGACGTTGTCGCGGCGAGAATGCGACTCATTTCGACTAGAAAAAGAACGGGAACTCAGAAATGCCACAGGACGGGACATGCATATGGACGGCTTGGAAAGCGGGACGCGCAACATGAGATCAGCGCTGCAGCGGGAGCACGATTTCGAAGGGCCGAAAACGCGGAAATGTGAACAGCGCTGCAGTTGGAGCACGATGTGAAAGGTCTATAAGCGCGGAGCCGAAGCCAAGGCTGCAGCATGAGCACGGTTTGGAAGAGCCGAAACAATGAAATGAGATCAGCGCTGCAGCCGGCACATGAGTTGGAAGGATCGAGAACGGGAGAATGAAGCCAACGCTGTAGCGGGAACGCCATTCTGAAAGGGTTGAAAGCGTTCGGATTGGAAAGCACATGTTAATTTGCATTTCGGCGGCATCCTGTGTGAAAAGTCGACGCGCGGAGGAGGCCAGGACACCTCACCAGCGTCTCCGGGGGAGAGAGGAGAGTAGTGTTCATCTTGTGCATGTGTGGAGGAGGAGCAAACTGACGACGACGACGACGACGACGACGACGTCGAGCAGGAGGAAGACGACGAGTAGGCGGCAGGTGATGAGGACGACGACAATAATGACGACGAAGACGACGACGAAGACGACCACCACCACCACCATCACCACCACCACCACTGCCACAACCACTGCCACCACCACCACCACAGCCAAGACCACGACCGAGACCACCGCCACGAACACGACCACGACCACGACCACGACCACGGCGACGGCGACGGCGACGGCGACGGCGACGACTTCCAGACCCTGCCTGGGGCACGTCCTGACCAGCACCCTGAGGTGACCTGGCCGTGGCCGCGCCAAGACCCCCCGGAGAGCGCGACGACGCGCGAGGCCTTCTCGACGGCGACGGCGACGGCGACGGCGGCGGCGACGCCGCTCCCCGCAAGCCTCCGGGTGCCCCCGGGGGCCTTCGCGAGAGCCGCCGGGCGCCCCCGGCAGCATCGCCGAAGAGCCCCGAGAGCCTCCGAGAGCCTCCAGGTGCCTCCCGAAGGGCCTCCGAGGGCCTCCGAGGGCCTCCGAGGGCCTCCGGGGGCCTCCGAGCGCACCTCAAAGCCGCCGGCAGCCTCCGGAGATCGTCGAGCAGCGCGGGGGGGGTCGCCGGCGGCGGCGGCGGCGAGGGAGGGCGGCGGCGGCGGCGAGGGGGGAGGTCGGCGGCGAGGGCGGGGCCCTCCTCTCTCCCCCCCCGTGGGGGCAGGCGTGCCGCAGGAGCTGCTGCAGGCCCTCGCCCTCCAGGCCCGGCGGGGGAGGGGGGGGGAGGGCGCCTCCCGCGTCCCGGGCTCCTCCCCCTTCCCTGACCTTCCAGAGAGCTATTTTTTAGCACTGGAAACCTAAAAACCTAAAAAACGAGACGAAACAGCCTAAAACCAAGACGAAAAATAGCTCTGGGATAGGTTTTTACGTCGGGTGCTATTTTTTAGCCCTCCTGGAAGGTCAGGGTTCTCCGCCCCCTCGCCCTCCGCCCTTCTTTCGGGGGAGCGTAAGACCCGGGCTCGCCAGGACTCGGGTGCGCCATCGTTTTTTTGAACGGCCGCGACGCGGATTCTGACGAGCAGGAGTCTCGTGGGACGTCTGCAGCGGGAGGCCTCGTCAAAGTGCAGGCTCGGCCTCGTTATTTTTTTGACGACCTCGTCGGGGATTTCCGAGTCCCCTGTACCCGGGTCTTGCGTCCCCCGGATTCTTTTCCCTCCCTCCCGGCCCCCGCTCCCTCCCTCCTCGGTGCCTCCCTCCTCCTCCGCTCTGCCTCCCCTCTTTCCTCGCCCTGCTCGCCCCGTCCCGTTTTTTTTGTTTTGCTTGCTCGCCTCGGGGGTCGAGGAATGGGGGGGGCGATGTACTAAAGGGGTGTGTGTGTGTGTGTGTGTGTGTGTGTGTGAAAACAGGTGCGCTGTTTGTGCCCTAAAGGGGCCCTAAAGTGGCCCGAAAGGGGCAAGAAACGGTGCACGTTCGTCCCCCCCGTGAATTGGCACCCGATCGTCCCTGCTCTTCGGCGTCTCCGCCTCTCGCCCTCCTCTCTGGGAGGAGTTAGGTGTATCTTGCCTGAGAGTCGTTTTAAGCATGAGAAGTTGTCTTCCCCCGGCGACTCACGTGTATTCCTGCCCTCCCGAGTAGGCGCGAAGAGGCGCCAATCGTCGCGAACAGTCGCTAAGAAGAAACTTGATAGAAACACCGTCACACGCACGCACGCACGCACACACATATTCACACACACCACCACACACGTTCACACATATAGCCACACACAGTCACACACATTCACACACGCACACACATTCACACGCACACGCACACACATTCACGTGACACGCACGCGCACACACACGCACACACACACGCACACACAACACACAACACACACAACACACAACAGACAATACACAACGCACAGCACTCACAACACACAACGCACAACACACGACACACACAGGCACACAAGCACACACGCACACAAGCACACACACACACACACTTTGGGAGCTCCGCGCGGATTTCTCGGATCGGCGGTGGGCCTCCCGGGTATGCGCCGCCTCCACAGCGGGGGGCCGTGGCAGACGGTGTGCACGTGCGACTCCCTGGGTGCCAGCGCCGTCTGGGAGGGCTTTGGGCCCCAGACAGTGCGTGGCTGGTGGGCGTCCCTCCGCGCAAGCACCGCTTCGGGTACGGTCGGGGACTCGCTTCCGCGCGCCGCACTGTTCTGGCTCGCCGCGCCGCGCGGCGCGAGGCCCCGGTCCCCGCACGTCGGCGTCCCGAGCCAGTCCCCAGCCTCGGGCGCCCGCGGAGCGGAGCGACGCGCCGCCCGCTGGCAGGGCGCCGCCGCACAGCTGCTGCCTCGGCCACCCGCGGTCGGCATGCTGCCCGCCCCACGCCGCCTGAAGAAGGGGCCACACGCGAACCCTACCCCTACCCCCCACGAGTTCTGAGGGGGAGTGTGGGGTTCACTTCGCTCGGGAGCTCCCGGACGGAGTGAGCCCCACCCTCCCCCTCGGAAATCGTGGGGGGTAGGGGCAGGGTTCGCGTGTGGCCCCCTACTGAAGCTGTGGGCATCGATCTGAGCCGCAGTGATTGGGTCAGGGGCGTGTTCCCGGCCCGTCCCGCCCAGCTGGCCAGCCGACCGCCCGACGGAGCTGCGAGAGGACCTCCCCGAAAGAGCTTCTCGGGGAGAGCGGTCGATGCAGCCGACCCGCAGCTAGAGTTAGGAGGAGTCGTTGGTCTTGCTGGGCGGGTCGGGACCCGTCGGGGAGTCGGGCGGGGGGCTAGGTGCGGATGACGATGTTGATGATAATGTTGATGATGCTGCTGATGCTGATGATGATGATCATGATGATGATGGTATTGATGATGATGGTGATGCTGATGATGTTGATGGTGGTGATGGTGGTGTTGGTGATCAGTGTAGTGGTGATGCGAATGGTGATAAGGACGATGATGATTACAATTGAGGAAGAGCGACACTAGCACTACTTGTACAATGGCATTAGAGATACACGTAACCATGACCGTACTAAATGTGAGACCCACCATCATCACAATAGCGAGGAACTGTCTAATGGCATTGCGGTTCGTAGTCGAGCAATCTTGGTTGATACATGACGAAGAAGCGGAGGAGGCAGGGAGGGAGGGAGGGAGGGACGCAGGAGGAGGTGGTGGAGTGAGGGGCAGGGGGGCCGGGGGCCGGAGGGCGTTCTACAGGGCCAGGCGCCCGGCAGGCAACGCCCCACCCTCGCCCGCGCGCGCGCGCGAGCCTCCGCGGCGGACAGGCCGAGGCCGAGGGCGCCGCCGCGGCCGCCCCGCGGCCGCCGGACAACGTGCTGGAGGATACCGTGGCCGCTGGCGCGCCCCGCTCCGCCGGGAGGCCCCCCCCGCGGAGAGGTCGGCCCTCGGAGAGGCCGCCGCCTCTGCGCCCCGCGGCACCCTCGGATCGATCGAGGCCGCGCCCCCCGCCCGAGGCCGCCCGCCGGAGAGGGGGGGGACCCCCCCCGCCGCGCGCCGCGCCCCTCGGGGGCCCCTCGGGGGGGCCCCCCCGCCGGAGGCCCCTGCGAGGGGGGCCCCTCCCCGGGGGGGCCCTGCGGAGCCCCCCCCCCCCCCTCCCCTGACCTTCCAGGAGGCTAAAAAATAGCACCCGAAGTAAAAAACCTATCCCAGAGCTATTTTACGTCTTGGTTTTAGGCTGTTTCGTCTCCTTTTTTAGGTTTTCAGGTTTCCAGTGCTAAAACATAGCTCTCTGGAAGGTCTGGGTCCCCGGGGGGCCCTGCGGAGCCCCCCCCCCCCCCCTCCCTCCGGAGGGTGGTGGGCCCGTGCGCCGGCGAGGGAGGCTCTGCGTGGATCCGTCGGGGGGTTCGGGGTCGCGTGCGCGCCCGCTCCTCCCAGAGGGGCGGGGAGGGGAGGCGAGTCGCAGCCGCGTGCGCGGCGTCGCCGCCCTGGGCGCCTCGGCCGGCGAGGGGGGCGGGGGCGGCACGCGGGGTTTCGGGCGCGGGCAGCCTCGAGGCACGCGGCGCGGCTCTCCCCCCCCCCCCCCTCCCGCTTCCCCTCCTGCTCTTCCCCCTCCTCGAGCCCCCCCCCCCCCCCTTCCCTGCTCCCCCCCCTCCCCCCCCCCCCCCCCCCCGTCGTCCTTCTTCCTCCCTCGCCCCCCCCCCGTCGCCTCCTCCCGCCCCCCCCCCCGCGCTATCCTCCCGTTGATCCCGCCTCCTTCCGTTCCCTCTTCCCTCCCTCGTCCCCGTACTCACCGCCTCCCTCGCGTCGCGTCGTCGTCGTCGTCGTCGTCGTCGTCGTCGTCGTCGTCGTCGTCGTCGTCGTCGTCGTCGTCTTCGTCGTTCCCGTCCGCCGCCCGGGTGGCTGGCCTCCGCGCAAGACGCGGAGCGCCGTGCGGCTTTGGAGGACTACTTCGAGCGCTGGGACGCGCGAAGGGCTGGAGGCCCTTCCTGGGGTCTTTCGGGAGGGCCAAAGAAGTCTCGGCGGAACATCCGTCGTAAACAACTGTGCGACAATTACGAGGATAGAAGAGGACGTTTTCTGTTTCAGAATGGGGCTGTCGTTTGATACTTCCTGTAAACGAACGAACAGTCGTGTAAACGATGTCAGCCAGCGTGGACCCCAACCAGTGATGTATTGTAGAACAGACGCGGTGCAATCTGGGTGTTGCAACCAATGTTGTGCAATCTAGGCGGTGCAATACAAGTGGTGCAATCTGTGTAGTGAAAGGCAATGCGAAGTAACGCCAAGCTACAAAGCAATGCAGCCCAATGCAGTGCAAAGCAATGCAGAGCAGCGCAGCACAGTGCACTAATTACAATGGAAAGCAATGCAGACTGATGCAAACACACAATGCAGCACAGTGCAAAAAGCACTGCAATACGGTGCAGCGCAAAAAAGCAGAGCAATTCAAGGCAAGATGGGCGAGAGGGTGGGGGGGGCGGGGGCCCTGACCTTCCAGGAGGGCTAAAAAATAGCACCCGACGTAAAAACCTATCCTGGAGCTATTTTACGTCTTGGTCTTAGGCTGTTTCGTCTCGTTTTTTAGGTTTTTAGGTTTCCAGTGCTAAAAAATAGCTCTCTGGAAGGTCAGGGGGGGGGGAGGCCATGCGAGCAGACTGGCCCGGAGCTAAACAAGCACAGGCTCCACGTTTTTCTGCGCCCCCTGCCTGGGCTTGGGGGCCGGAGGGCCGCCCTCCTCCTCCTCCACGGGGGGAGCGGGGGCGCGGGGGCGCGAGGGCCGCCACCGCGCTCTTGGCGCGTCGGCGTGTGGGGGCGTGGAGCGCGAAGCGGGAGGCGGCTTCAGGAAGACTCCCGTCGGGCGAGAGCCCTGACCTTCCAGGAGGGCTAAAAAATAGCACCCGACGTAAAAACCTATCCTGGAGCTATTTTACGTCTTGGTCTTAGGCTGTTTCGTCTCGTTTCTTAGGTTTTTAGGTTTCCAGTGCTAAAAAATAGCTCCCTGGAAGGTCAGGGGAGAAGGAGGAGGCACAGGGGAGCTGGGGATCAGGGGCAGCGACAGGGGGGGGACGGGCTCGGCGGGGAGCGCGTCTCGACGCCCCACCGCCCAGGGATCGCCCACAGGGGGGCCCGAGGGCCCAACCCCTGCCCAGGGCCGTGCCGTGTCGCCCTCGGGGCTCTCCTCGCCGGTCCATCGGCGGTGCATCGCCGATGCCAGGTCGAGGTTTCCCACCCTGACCTTCCAGAGAGCTATTTCTTAGCACTGGAAGCCTAAAAACCTAAAAAACGAGACGAAACAGCCTAAAACCAAGACGTAAAATAGCTCTGGGATAAGTTTTTACGTCGGGTGCCATTTTTTAGCCCTCCTGGAAGGTCAGGGCACCCACCCCCGAGCCAGCCTCGGACGGGGCCGGGACGAGGAAATCATCCGTTCCAGAGCGTTCCAGAACGCTCTCAGAGCATTCGGGAACGCTCTGCGGGGCTGGGGCGAGGAATCATCCGTTCCAGAGCGTTCCGGAACGCTCTCGGAGCGTTCCGGAACGCTCCGAGGTGGCCGCGGCGCCCGAGGCATCCTCTGGAGCTGCCAGATCTCAGAGGTCCCCCGTCCGATTTGACCCTCGTCTTGGCTCCGTCTTGCAGAGGCCCCCTGCCGTTGCCCCTTGGGAGGGTTCCCCTTCGTCGCGAGGCTGTCATCGCGCGTCGCGCGTCGGACGGAGGTGTCCTTGGGAAGCCCGGGTCGGACGAGATGGGGGGGGAAAGCGCAGATGGACACCAAGGTGGAACCCTTGGCACCACGCCCCCTACCCCCCACCCCCCCATTGTCACAGGTTGCCTCCCGCATTCGGCAGCACAGGACACAAGAAAGCGGAACCCCCAGGGGCCTCCGGGAGGCCGAGGCCAACTTTGAAATTGGGGGGGGGGGGGGGGCAACGCGGGGTCGAAGACGAATGGGGTTCCGCTTTCTGGCCCCCTTACGGGGGGAGGAGCGGGCAGGGGAGGGGGAGGCAGAGGGGCTGGGAGGCTCGGGCCCCGGAGGCGGAGGCGGGGCCAGACGCGCCGCCCCGTCGGTGAGGCGCCGACCCGTCGGAGTCCGCCAGCGCGGCGTCCGTGGAGAGGCGGCGCCGCGTCGCTCAAGGGGGGGATCCTGGCCCGTCCTCTCCCTCTCCCTCTGTCTCTCTCTCTCTCTCTCTCCCTCTCTCTCTATATGTTTATATATATATGTGTATATATATATAAGTAATACTCCTCTATTCCTCTCTCTCTCTTTCTCTCTCTCTCTCTCTCCCTCCCTCCTCCTCCCTGCCTCCTCCTCCCTCCTTCTCCTCCCCCCTCCTCCGTCTCCTCCCCCCTTTTCGTGTTAGACTAGCATAAGCAAACCTCCTCGCCCTCCTCCTCCACCTCCTCCCCCTCCTCCTCCACCTCCTCCTCCTCCTCCTCCTCCTCCTCCTCCCTCCTCCTCCTCCTCCTCCTCCTCCTCCTCCTCCTCCTCCTCCTCCTCCTCCTCCTCCTCCTCCTCCTCCTCCTCCCCCCAGAGGAAGGGCCCCGAGGGCCCCGCGGTGGCGGGCCTCAGCAGGCCCGCGCTTTATCCACGTGCTCGTCCCCCGGGGGCTCACCCTGGCCCGTGGAGGTCGGCGTCGGCATTGAGTCCGACGTGCGGGCGCTGGCGGCATGCGTTGCTGGAAGACCGCTGGCGCCTAGGCCAGCTGCTTTGCTCACAGCAGCTGGCGACTGTTCCTGGTGCCTTCGAGCGGCGTTGAGCCCCCCCCCAAAAAAAGGGCTCACTCTGGCCCCGCGCCCCGGCTCTGGGGCCCCGGGTGGTGGAGGCCAGAGCTCGGCGGGAGCAGGGCCCGGAGGGGCCGCTCCAGGAGAACTGGTTGCACGGCGCCGTTTTGGCGGGGCCGGGCCTCCTCCCTCCTCCCTCCTGCCTCCTTGCTCCTTCCCCCTCCTCCCTTCTCCTCCCTCCTCCTCCCTCCTCCTCCCTCCTCCTCCCTCCTCCCCACTCCCTCCTCCTGTTTGGGACCCTGTCGGTCGCGTCGAGGTCCTTAGGACATGCTGGAGGCCTGGCTTTTCTTGCAAGCCCTGGGATGGAGACTTCGCTGATGAACGTACTCGTACATGGCTCCCTGGTGCTGCTTGTGTCCACCTGCCTCCTATCCCTCGGCTTCTTCGACGTGTGCTCGAAAATGCGACCGACTCGGCGACAGGGATCGACGGCATTCCGTATGGGGCCTGGCTGGCTCTACCAGTGGGGTCTGAGGTGTTTGAGAAGGTCTCGAGTGGTTGATGGAGGGTAAAGCGCCATTCGACTCCGCTAGCACCAACATCCATTTTTCTCCGCAGAGCTATGACTTACAATGAATTTCAGGACGGGTGGGGGCACGAGGTCGCCAGATAAAGTTAGAGTCCTCGGTCTTAGGAACACGGATATCCAGGTGATTTTCGTGACCACTAACGTGGCCGTGCGCCTTGTGCTTCAAGAAGCTGTTCCCACATGCCAGCGCGGGTTCGTCCCGCAGCGGAACTTCGGGCTCAGCGTTCTCGAGATCGACGTCTCGGCCAGAAGGTTCTCGTTGCCCCCCCACGGCTCTCAGGACATTCCCTCGATGTGCTCCATGGGCTTCGGCCAGGCCTCTCCCTCTCTCGGCCAAGAGTCTCTGGTGTATATCCTGTCCCTCCTGGGACTTCAGAGGCGTGCTTGGCGTTTGGCACCTCCCTGTATGTACTCGGCCATCGAGGGTGTCGTCTGTGTCAAGCGCGTCTTCGAGCGGCTTGAATTGGTCGCGATCAAAGAATGTGTCCTTTCAGGTGCGCCATATGCTTTGGGGATTCTGGTCTTCCTCGCGGACCTATTGGACTATCGAGACACCTGGCCGTGGCATCGTGCGGGCATGTGCCCACGACATCGGCGGGACCTTGAAGGCCATCCGTGACTTGCAAATCGTTCATCGTGTCATGTCCGTGGCGGCCTCGTTGGCAAACCTAATTCTGAAGATCTCCAAGTGCAGAGACTGGTGGCCCCTGGTTGCCGCAGGTCTCGACATTGTGGTTCCTCAGTGGGCCCCTATCGATGTTACTGCTGTGGCCTCTCTTCTGTCTGTGGGGATCTGGAAGGGTCCTGCAGTGGGCTCGACCTCGTGCTGCGTCGACCCTGTGGCCCAACTTCGACTTCGGGCTCAGGCGATCGGGCACGGCGCAACACCTGCCAGCCTTTCCTCCATACCTTACAACACACGTGCTGGCCGCATCCTCTCCCGTGTGGCGCAGGTCGCGTGGACGCCGATCTCCATGTTGAAGGTGGAGCTGCATATTGTTCATTTCTAATTCTTCGAAAATTCTTTGATGTTTTTTGAACCAAGACCCTTTCAGTTATAATTGTTCTATCCTGGGCCTCTTCCTGGCCACTAGGGGGCCGGGAACAATTAGAAGCGAGCACGATTAGAAATGCGCACGATTAGAAATGAGCGACGTGTAATTATCAATGTTGTCACAAGTCTTTCGAGTGCCCTCGGGTTCTTTCAACCTCAGCGCGTGGACCCAGCTGGAGCGCCGGGGTGGTCCTCGTGTTACTCGCTGGGCTCGCCTGAATGTGGCATCCATGTCATGTCGGGGCGGCAGTTGCACGTTTCCCGAACGTGCAGCGCTTTTCTCGACGGGCTTCGGTCACACGTTCGCGGTCACGATCCCTGGCAGCTTCCAGAGACGTGTCCCCACGGCCGACCATGCCCCAGATTCTGGTGCAGCCCTGCCTCTGCGGGGTGCCGGGCGCATGGTGCCTCATCGCTGCATTCGGCGCGGCTGCCGCCCCTCTCCAAAGGCAGTGTGCCACGGGCGCTCCGACGACGACGACGGCGACGACGGCGACGACGACGACGACGACGACGACGACGACGACGACGACCGCGACGACGACGACGACGTTTCCTCCACGCCGGCCTTCGGCCCCCCTTGGCGGCCCTGGCGCTGGCCCCTGCCTCGGCGGAGCTGGCGGCGCGGCGCCGCCCGGCCGCCGCCCGCGGCCGCAGCGCGCTGCCCGCCGTGCCCTCCGCCCCCTCCGGCGGCGGGCGCCGCAGCGCGCTGCCCGCCGCGAGCTCGCGCCGCGGGGGCTCGGAGGCTCGTGGGGGCCGCGGGCGGCGCGCCTCGGCTCCCGCTGGACGCGGGCGCCGAGGGGCGACGCGCGGGCTCGTTTTGCCCCCGTGCTCGACGCTGGGACGGCGCCGCACCGCCGGAGCCGTCCTCCTGGCCAGAAGAAGACGAAGGACCAGCACGCGCCCACACCCACAGGTCAGAGGGGGAAGAGGTGCCCATGCCTCTACCCTTCGGCCGTTTTTTTCCCCTTGCGGGGCCTCCTTCTCAGGATCTCGTCGCCACCGCTGGATTCGCCTGGAACTTCTGGTCAGAACGCGCCCCACGAGAGGTCCGGAGAGTAGCGGTATCGGCACCGTTTGGTTTCCCTAATAGTGGGGACGAATGAGTTAGGGGTGCGTGTTGTCGGGTTGGGGGTCCCCGCTCGAACGGGAGCCTCCCCAGGGGTCGGACAACCCGCACCCACACCCAAGGCCGATCCTTCTCCCTCCGACCTCCCTGTGGGTATGGGTGTATGGGTGTGTGTGTGGGTGTGTGTGTGTGGGTGTGTGTGTTGTTCGTGTGTCAACAAAGACGCTGCGCAGACGGCTGCGCTGGTGCTCCCAGCGGTCTCCGGCACCGCGCGAGGTGTCGCCCGCGGCATGTGGAGCTCCCCGCCGGGCGCCGGCTCGGCCGTTCCGTCGACGGCCCCCGGCTCGGCCGCTGGAGCCTGGCTCCGCCCTGGCTCGAGGCGTGTGCTGTCACGACAGAGGCATGTTTGGCCAGCCATACTCCGAGTTTCTTAACCAGCGTCGAGGGGGCGTCACCCCCGCCGACGGCCCCACATCGACCCGCGTCGCGGGCAGCCATCGCGTGCCGAAGGCCCCCGACCCCCGCCGCGGCAAGACGGCGAGGCGAGGTTGACCCCCGTCGGGGGGGTACCCCCCCACGCTTGTCAAGAAACCCAGGGGACCAAGAGAACGATCCCGACCTGGCCTCTCCAGGCTTCCCAGACGTTCCGCTGTGCTCTCTCGTGTGTTCGCGCGAGGCAGCTGGCGACCCCGCTGCGGCTCTCCGAGGCGGAGCGGGCGCCTCTGAACACCACGACCTCCTCCTATGGATGCGCCCCCCTCGTCTTCCTCCTCGGCTCCCTCGACTCCGCGTCCTGTGTGGCAGGCCTCCTCTGCTGCATCATCGCCGTCGGCGGGTACTCCTCCTGCCTCGCCCGTCCCCGGGCGCCCTCCGCGGGCTCCGCGGCCGACTCCGCGGGATTGCGTCGCCCCGGACCCCGCCGACGGAGGCCGCCACCTTCGCCACCCCTCCGCGGCGACGGCCCCCCCCCAGCCTGGGTGTTGGATGTTCGAGCGCGGACTCCCGTCCGCACGCTGGCCCGAAGGGTGCGCCCCTCGAGCCCCGATGGCCTCCCGTCGCCACTCTCGCTTGCTCGAGTTCGCTCCCCGGTGTCAGGAAGCGGCCCCCCCAGGGGGCGCCTCGAGCCCAGCGGGGTCGCGCCGCCACTCGTCTGCCATCCTTCCATGGCGTTCGGGCGCGAGCTGCTGCCAGAGTGCGTGCAACCCCAGGTGCGCATCGTGCCCTGCTGGTGTCACGCCGTCGGGTATTTATCTGCCAGCTCGGGCGTTCGAGCGTGCGTCTGGGTCAGGACGCTTGCCTCCAGCGTGCGCCTCGAGCCCTGCTGGCCCACTGCCGCCGCGTGCGCCATCTTCCGAGGTCCTCTTCGGTTCGTGGGCAGTCGACGGCTCCTCGCACCACGTGCCATCCGATTGCTGCATACTCCTCGCACATGTCGACGCCGTGTCAGATGTCCATGCCCTCACAGATGCCCAGACTTTCACAGATGGCAGTGCCGTCCTGGCTGCCCGTGCCAAGCTCGGTGTCCAGGTGTTTTTTTCGCCTGCGGAAGGGCGCCTTTTTGTCGCCTGCCGATGCTGTGCCGACCGCTGTCCTCCGCCCTTTTCTTGTTCCCCTCGCCCGCGCTCCGCCCGTGCTCTTGCTGCTCCTCCTCTCGCTCCTCCTCCTCCTCCTCCTCCTCCTC